ATGTGACAATATTCCAACCATAAAAAAGTTAAAAATAAACTCCTTAAAAAAAAATCATTAAACTTATGGCGTATCTAACACATCATGAAATCTATGACATATCCAACACTTCATAATCATCTTCATCAAGCATATCTGAATCAGCTTGTGGCAAGGTTGTCTTAACATCTTCATTTTCATCTGCAATTTATATGCGGTTTCAATTAGTTAAATATTAAATAGATTTTGAGTTTGGACTCTTTTTAATTTTAATATTATATTATATTTTTTTAATTATTTTTATTTGGCCCACGGGCCGGCCCTACATATATTTCTCAAGCCCCACAAATCAGTAGGCTTATTCAGGCTGGGCTAAAAAACCCTTTTCTTAAATGGGCTCCAAAAATCTTAGCCCAGCCCTATTAAATCCCGAGTTAGGCCAGGCCGGCCCAACGGGTCTAGCCCATATTGACGGCTCTAAGTGAATTGTAGGGCTTTAACACATTCCTTCGAAAAATATTTAAGAACATAAATCAAAAACTACTTTTCACAATTATTCTTTTGATTATTTTCAAACTATCCTACTAGAAAAAGAAAAAAAGTTAACAACCTCATTAAATTAAAAATAAATATTTAAAAAAATCTCAACAATTTTCTTAAATTCTGAACTACATTTTTTTCTCTTTTCAATAATTCACATCACAATATGAAGTAGAGAAAGTATCTTTTATAGTGTTTAGTATAATTTCTATTCCATATAATCTATCTTAACAGATATTTTCTAGTATTTTTAGTTAATTCTTTTTCTTCCACATTTTCTAAAAAAAGGTCATAATTAATTGAAAAACATATACTTTATTAAATTAAAAATATAATTAATCATTTTACTAATAATAAATTTCATAATTTATACCTCAAATTTATAATCTCAAAATATCTCGAATACGAAGAAAATTATGTTGAGAGCGCCACCCTCAAACGTGTTCTCAATGCACAATCTAAATTCAATTGACGTATGCCAAATAAAAAAATCAAAAAAATCTCGGATAACTTTGTCCCCGAACCAAAACACCCCTAAAGAATGAAAATTCTTAAAAACCCCAAAGCCCACAGTGTGCCTAATAGAAATGCAGCTAGTAGTATAAACCTTATCGTTTACTCTTATCTCACAAGAACCAAACCCCTCTTTGTTCTCTCCACAGAGAACTTGTTATCTTTCCACTTTTCAATCCTTCAATTCTTTACAGTTGAGTAGCGGAGTTGTTGTTGTTGTTGGCGCCATGGATTCTGAAGAAGCGACGTTTTCCCCTCCTGCTGTCTCTTCTCCAGGTTCTTCTCCCATCAACAGTTCTTCTTCTAATCATACTGAAACTGAAAATGTCTCCAAAATTAATGTAGAAATCACTGATTCCGATATTAATAGTAATAGCAATAGTGAGGGTAAAAGCGTTAGTGGTGTTTCAGGTGATGTAACTATTGTGGGTAGTCAGCAAGAATTGCCAATTCCTGCTGACCCAGATGAGGGAACCCTAGAAAAAACTATTGGTGAAGAGCAGTTGAATGATTCCGTTGTGGGTTCTGCGGATGTTTCGATGTTGAAGTCAGAGAAGCCTGTTTCTGAGGTTTCTATGAGCGAGGGTGTTGAAAATGTTGAGATTTTAGGGGGAGGAAAGGGTGAAGATGTTGGTGGTTCTGTTCCTGCTATTGGGAATAGTTTACCTGATTCTACTGACTCTGATGCCACCAAATCTCTGGGGACGGGAATTGAGGGTTCGGAGGGAAATACTGAAGAGTTTGACCCAGTTGATAAGTTGAATTCGATTGAGCAGGTGAAAGATGGTGGTGGTGAGGTTGCAGTAGGTGCAGAATTGAAAGAGGGTGAGGATAGGTCCACTCAGGAGGAGGTGAAGGAAACTGTGGAGGATGAAAAGATAGAATTGAAAGAGGGTGGGGATAGGTCTATCGAGGAGGAGGTGAAGGAGACTGTGGAGGATGAAAAGATGGAATTGCAAGGGGGTGAGGATAGGTCCATTCAGGAGGAGGTGAAGGAGATTGTGGAGGATGAAAAGAATGAAGCTTTAACTAGTGTTGCTTCATCTAATTTGAAGGAGGCTGAGGAACCTACCTCGGTCATTGAAGAGAGTGCTATTGCTTCATCCAATTTGAAGGAGGTTGAGGAACCTACCTCGGTCATTGAAGAGAGTGCTATTGCTTCATCCAATTTGAAGGAGGCCGAGGAACCTATTTGAAGGAGGTTGAGGAACCTACCTCGGTCATTGAAGAGAGTGCTATTGCTTCATCCAATTTGAAGGAGGTTGAGGAACCTACCTCGGTCATTGAAGAGAGTGCTATTGCTTCATCCAATTTGAAGGAGGTTGAGGAACCTACCTCGGTCATTGAAGAGAGTGCTATTGCTTCATCCAATTTGAAGGAGGTTGAGGAACCTACCTCGGTCATTGAAGAGAGTGCTATTGCTTCATCCAATTTGAAGGAGGCCGAGGAACCTACCTCGGTCATTGAAGAGAGAGCTATACATAGTGATGATGCCGAAAAACTCAATAAGGTGGTTGTTGAACAACCGTCAGAATCTTTGTTGGCTGAAACAGATGGTGAGAAATTTACTTCCGAAGGAGATGCAGTTGTGGATGCCATTGAAGTCAATGTCTCAGGGCCAGGGGTTGCTGTTGTTGGAGATGTGGAAGAGAGCAAGGAAGTGGAAGAACATATTGAAGGTACTACTGATGAGAATGTGACATCAGTAAATGATGTTGGTGAGACCAGACAACTTATTGAAGAAGTGGTTAATATGACAGTTGATGAAGTAGATGCACAAGACCCTAAGCCTGTGGTGGATGATACTGTTGCAGCTGCAGAATCAAATCCTGTGGATAACATTGTTGGTGCTGGAAAACTAGATTCTGGAGATGTTCAGACTAGTGATGTGGTAGCTGTTACTGAGGAAATTAAAGAAGCTGATCCTGAAACTGTTAATAAAAGGCTGGACACCAAGGATGTTGAAGTGGAACCTGAGCAGGCTGTGTCTGGAACTATATATGCCAATGGTGACCATTCCGGAGAAAGCATCGAGGGAGATGTAGTGGAAGTTGAAGTCTCTGGTCAAACATCTGCCATATCAAGGTCAATCACTGGCTCAGAGCAAGAAGGAGAAGCTAAAGATCATATAGATGAAGAAGCTGACCTTGAAGGCTCAGTTTCAGATGGAGAGACAGATGGTATGATTTTTGGAAGCTCTGAAGCTGCTAAACAGTTTATGGAGGAGCTGGAAAGGGAATCTGGTGGTGGCTCTTATGCTGGTGCTGAGGTTTCGCAGGATATTGATGGTCAGATTGTCACTGACTCAGATGAGGAGGCTGATACTGATGAAGAAGGAGATGGGAAGGAGTTGTTTGATTCAGCTGCCTTAGCTGCTCTTTTAAAAGCAGCAACAGGTGGTGATTCTGATGGTGGCAACATAACAATCACGTCTCAAGATGGATCAAGACTATTCTCTGTTGAACGTCCTGCTGGTCTTGGGTCATCACTCCGGTCACTGAGGCCAGCTCCCCGACCAAGCCAACCCAATCTTTTTACTCATTCCAGTCTTCAGAACAGTGGAGAATCTGAGAACAACTTGAGTGAAGAAGAGAAAAAGAAACTGGAGACACTACAGCAGATTAGGGTCAAGTTTTTGAGGCTTATTCACAGGTTGGGTCTTTCTTCTGATGAGCCCATAGCTGCACAAGTTTTGTACCGGATGACACTTATTGCACGAAGGCAAAACAGTCCACTTTTTAGCACTGAGGCTGCCAAGATGAAAGCTTTCCAGCTTGAAGCAGAGGGGAAAGATGATTTGGACTTCTCCGTGAATATCCTGGTTATTGGCAAATCTGGGGTGGGTAAGAGTGCTACCATAAACTCTATCTTTGGAGAGGAAAAAACATCAATTGATGCCTTTGGACCTGCTACCACCAGTGTGAAAGAGATCAGTGGTGTTGTAGATGGTGTTAAGATTCGGGTATTTGATACACCTGGCCTCAAGTCCTCTGCGATGGAACAGGGTTTCAATCGCAGTGTCTTGTCTTCAGTAAAGAAGTTGACTAAGAAGAACCCCCCTGATATTTTCCTCTATGTCGATCGGCTGGATGCCCAAACTAGAGATCTCAATGATCTTCCTATGCTGAAGACTATCACAAGTTGTCTTGGTCCTTCAATATGGCGAAGTGCCATAGTCACCCTCACACATGGAGCTTCTGCACCTCCAGATGGACCTTCTGGATCCCCTTTAAGTTATGAGGTGTTTGTTACTCAAAGATCTCATGTTGTTCAGCAGTCTATCGGGCAAGCAGTAGGCGATTTACGAATGATGAGTCCAAGTTTGATGAATCCCGTCTCTCTGGTAGAAAATCATCCATCTTGTAGGAGGAATAGGGATGGACATAAGATACTACCTAATGGCCAGAGCTGGAGGCCTCAATTACTGCTATTAAGCTACTCAATGAAGATCTTATCTGAAGCAAGTGCACTTTCAAAGCCTGAAGATCCATTTGATCACCGTAAGCTCTTTGGTTTCCGCACACGCTCACCACCTCTTCCGTACATGCTTTCTTCAATGTTGCAGTCACGTGCGCATCCAAAGCTTTCTGCTGAGCAGGGTGGTGACAACGGTGATTCAGACATTGACTTAGATGATTTGTCAGACTCTGACCAAGAAGAAGAAGATGAGTACGACCAGCTTCCTCCCTTCAAGCCTCTTCGGAAGGCTCAGCTTGCTAAGCTCAGCAAAGAACAGAGGAAGGCGTACTTTGAGGAGTATGACTATAGGGTCAAGCTCCTTCAGAAGAAACAGTTGAGAGAAGAGTTAAAAAGAATGAAAGAGATGAAAAGTAAGGGAAAAGAGGCGGCAATTGACTATGGTTATGCAGAGGAAGAAGCTGATGCAGGTGCAGCAGCTCCTGTAGCAGTTCCCCTCCCTGACATGGCCCTCCCACCTTCTTTTGATAGTGATAATCCCGCCTACAGGTACCGCTTCTTGGAGCCCACATCACAGTTCCTTGCAAGGCCTGTTCTGGACACGCATGGTTGGGATCATGATTGTGGCTATGATGGTGTTAATGTGGAACAGAGTTTAGCCATTGCAAGTCGTTTCCCTGCTGCAGTTACTGTGCAAATCACCAAAGATAAGAAGGATTTCAGTATCAATTTGGACTCTTCTATTGCTGCCAAGCACGGAGAAAATGGATCAACCATGGCTGGCTTTGATATTCAAAGCATAGGAAAGCAACTTGCCTATATTGTCCGAGGAGAAACCAAATTCAAAAACTTGAAGAAGAACAAGACTGCTTGCGGAATTTCTGTTACATTTCTAGGTGAAAATATGGTTACTGGACTTAAAGTTGAAGATCAAATCATCTTAGGCAAGCAATACGTTCTAGTTGGCAGTGCTGGCACTGTTCGATCTCAGAGTGACACAGCTTATGGGGCGAACTTTGAACTGCAGAGGAGGGAGGCAGATTTCCCAATTGGTCAGGTGCAGTCTACATTGTCTATGTCTGTCATAAAGTGGAGAGGTGATTTGGCTCTAGGTTTCAACAGTATGGCACAATTCGCTGTGGGACGCAATTCGAAGGTAGCTGTTCGAGCAGGAATCAATAACAAGCTCAGTGGGCAAGTAACCGTGAGGACAAGCAGTTCAGACCATCTCTCTCTTGCACTTACTGCTATTATTCCAACTGCAATTGGCATCTACAGGAAGCTTTGGCCGGATGCTGGCGAGAATTACTCAATCTACTAAATTTCATTTTCATATCAGCATTGCATTTTTGGTTCATTAGACCTTATATGATGGCATATTATCTTTGTCAGTTCATTGAATAATGCTTCTGTTAATTTCTTCCCATCCATTTAGGATTCCTACTGTTATGAGTTATAAGTCAATTTTGAGTGATTGAATGTACTTTTTTGCCAGATGAAATGAAGAGGTTTGTGTTGCTTTAAATGCTTCGTACATTATATTGAACATCTGTGATTCTTTTTCTCATTTAATGTACTTCTATTCAACAACATACGTCTTACAAAGAAGGGTCCACAAGGTAGAGTTTCATTGATTCTTTTGATATTTATTGTTTCATAACATGATATTAATTGAACCAATTGACACTTTTTGAGTGGTGACATTATAAGGTTCAATATTTGAGTAGAATTTGGTTTAGGTCTTCCTGACTTGTCAGATACTAAAGTCTTGTAGATCTATGAATTATTCTTGGGCAAGGACATGTTAAATGTATTGTCTCATAGTAGTAGAAGCATTTGCTTGAAAATTTTCCAAAATCGAGTTTGCAAAGTCATTTTTTGATTTCTTTCTGGAGAAAAACAACCTCTCTACCTTCCCTACTTGTGGGATTACATTGGATATGTTGCTGTTGTCGAGTAAGTGTATGTTTGAGCTGTTTATGTTTTTCTAAAACATTTGAAAAACTAAGTTGATTTTCTTTTTTGGTGCAACCAAACAGAGTACCATTAACCAAGCAGCTAATAAGCTTGACTCTTGAGATGCATAAGAGCTAAAGATGTACATGAATTTCTTTGACTACTTTTTTGTTTAATATTCTGTCTCTTCCTTTTATTTTTCTCCCTTCTTTTTGGACTACAAATCAAAAGGTAATTATTGCCATCCCACAATGCTGGTACTTTGTCTTCCCCCCTTCCCCAAGTCTTTAATTTAAGAGAAAAAAAACTTGCACCTATATTTATTTTAAAAAATCACTTTAAATAATTAAATCTAAGTAATAAATTATTATATTAATATGTATTAATTAATCATGATTACATAAATTGTAATATTGTCTGTAGAATTAAGAAGTAAAGTAATAATTGTACATAAAAGACACTACAACAAAAATATTTTTTAGCAGCAATAAATATGCACATTAACAAAGAATGTTAAAATTTTAGCATAATACATAAACATGACTCTTAACTTAGCTTAGCGAACAACTATACCCTCCAACTTTGAGTGTGCACAAGTAGACACTTAAATTTATATTAAATTGAACAAATAAACACATGTGTCCTACATGGCATAATACATGTAGGATGCCACGTAGGATACAAAATTTTCGTGTAGGGTGCCATGTATGATGAATGTGTCTATTTGTTCAATTTTATACAAGTTTAAGTGTCTACTTGTGCACACCCAAAGTTAAAGGTCATAGTTGTCCGTTGACGCCAAATTAAGGGGCATGTTTATGTATTATGCCTTTTTTTTTGTTTCCCACCCCATGTCTGATACTTACATTGAAGCTTGACTAAATTCAAATTCGCTTTGGAAAGTCTCACATTTGGGTTAAAGCGCTGCCCAACTTGTTCGATGAACTTCCTGTTTTGTTTTTTATCATAATGCCAATTTATTAGTAAATCTTTTCTCAAATGGTGTTTATGCTGAGTCAAATGAAGGACAAGGAAGTAGGGGGAAAACTGACCTTTTTACTGCTTTCATAAAGCATGAACTTTGAAAGCATTTAGAATTATGTACAAACTATTGCAAAAATGTTTAAGTAATATATACACTCAATATGAAAATTATTTTACATCATCATTATATTTTAACATGTTACTTTACTATTTTTACCAATCAATCATTCATATTTTAACTTTCTAGATATCCATAGAAGCAATTAATCATTTTCTTGTACTAGTAGATAGCATTAGTTATTTGTATATTGTACGCAAAATTGGAGAAATAACTAACGCTCATGATGGATCTTGAGTCATTTTTTATGTTCTTGCTACTTCTTCATGTCACATGATTTTTTTTAAAATGTTTTCTTCACTAAAAATTAACAAATTACTGTATTTTGTTTCAAGTGTTTGATTAAAAGTTGATATAATATGGTTTGTTCACGAATTTAAATTTGGTGATTTAGAATAATTATTAAAATATATTAAGGAAATTGAGAAATGGCTTATGATATAAAGATGAACAATTACTACCGACAAACATAAACCAAGTTATTAACCCCTTGGCCCATTAAGCCCAATGGGCCCAACCTCCAGTACAGTAATGTAAAATGGTCATTGCGCCGGAGCAACAGTGCCGTCGGTCAAGGAAACGGGCTGCTCGTTCTCCGCGGCGGTGCCGCCTTCAAACACCTTCGCGATCTTCTCTACGGGAATAATCGGGAAATAATGCGCCACCGCATAGCCGTTCTCCGACGCATATGTCACCGCTTGATTGTATTTCTCACTCCAATAAGCCGCCGTCGGCACCAAAATCTGAGCCACTTGAGGGAACAAAGGAAGCTTGTTCAGAGATCGCCATGCCATAACCGCATTTTTCTCGGCCACTGGCTCGTATTTTGCGTATAGCTCCTTCACTGTGGGTTCGTACTTTGTGTAGAGTGTTTTAGCTACGTTGCTTGCTGTGTCCACTAAGCCATCGTGCTGTACCTCGCCGGCGAGATCTCGAGCTAATTCTGGAGCCTTCTGAGCTATTAACAGAGCTTTGGATGATGCCTGCTTTAGTAGAGAAGGCACATGGCTTTCAACTTCTGTCACCAGGTCTGCCACCTGCATAGATTCAAACTTTCAAATCCTTGCCACTGAAATTCAAGTTCAAAAGTTCACAACATTTATGTGAATTTCATGTGTATATGTGTCCACATCCATTTTTATGGCTCATTTTCAATTCGTTGGAGAAGACAGTTTCTAAATGCTCTCAATTCCAGCAAACTTTCAAGCTGCAAAATAAGTATGGTAGAGACAGTATCGGTAAAATTCATTTTGGAGAAAGAAGGTGAACCTTTAGGTCGATGAACTTGAGGAGATTGAAAGGAACGTTATGGAACTTCTCGTAAACCGGTCCAATAACAGTTTTAACAGTGGCTTCTACGGCCTGTACACCAGGTTTCAACGGGCCGGAGTTCTCTTTGCCGTATTCGTACAAAGTTGAGAAGCAAACAATCACATAGATCGCTGCAACTTGAACGAAATCCAGATATTTGAGTTTCCTCTGATCATCTTCTGCTACCTTCAATTGTAAACACATATCAGGTACAGATTTAAAACTTAAAAATTCTGAATCTCAGCTTGAGAAAACACATCTCGAACCTATCGAGAAAAAATAAATTAAAATCGACAAATTATACTACTTACTCTACCTCTATTGCATGCATAAATTAACCTGTCAATGCATCTTCATAAAATCTAACTACTCTTTCTCGAAAAAAAATATTATTATGAGTTGAGTGACCATATGTGTTGTGAAGATGAAATTGGCAACCATGAAGGCAACAACTCATTCATCATTATATTTAACACCTCAAAATAAGAAGATAACAATTCATTCTGACAATTAATATGAGTAATTGAACAACTTAGATCTAATATGTGAAGCCTGAATAACAGAATATGAACTTGCAACCCACGCAGCGGTGCTTTACCTCTAGATGTCCAGTAACAAACAATTGAAAATTAAAATTGATTTAACTCTAATAATAAACGTAGAAGGCATTGTATACTTACTGGATCAGCTGGATCAGTACTAGTAGGTGGCGTCGTGCTTGCTGGATCAGTACTAGCAGGTGGCGCCGTGCTTGCTGGATCAGTACTAGCTGGTGGCGCCGTGCTTGCTGGATCAGTAGGTGGCGTTGCAGCTGCGTCGGCCATGGTAGAGATGGAGAAAACTAAGCCCTTTGTAATGGAGTTGTACAGGAAAGCTTCGAAAAGGCAGGCCGTTAGCAAGTCCTCTTTTATAGCGGACGGGGCACGTAATAATCGTGTGCGGAGAAGTCGATGAAAATTTTACCTTATGAGAGGTTTTCAATTAATGTTTATTTGACCCAAAAATAAAGTGAACAAATATTCTTAATTAAAGTGAATAATATTCATGACCATAAATAGAAAGAAATTATTTAATGATAGGTTTTTATTTTTTTGCTAATTTTTAAATTTTAAATAAGGGAAATTACATAAATTGGACCCATTAAATAAAGTATTTGTCCAAACTAGACTTAACCCAATATATTTACTTTGATTGAATCCATGGTCCAAATTATTTACCTTGACTCTCCTCTTGTTCTATTCACTAAACTACTCTTCTTCCTTGATACCATTGGAGTATACTCCGTTGGTATCCACCAACAATTGAGTAGTTTCCTCTTTGATGCCATCAGAATATATATATATATACCCTAATGATATCAAAGACTAACTGAGTAGTGTTTTCACTGAAACATTGCTTCTTCTTCTTAATATACTCTAATGGTATCAATGAGTAACTCAATAGTGTTTTCACTGAATCACTACACACTTCTTCCCCTTTGATACCATGAGTGTATCCAACAATAGTTATTCACTATACTAAAAATAATTGTCAAACGATACTTATCTAGTTTAGAAAATCAAGAGATAATTTACATTTTGTATCTATTTTACCATTGCTATTAAATAATATTAATCATTTAACACATTTCTCAAAGCATTAAATTTAATAAAGTCAAAGGATAAAATAGTAATATTACCCTTATTATTTATTGTTTCTTAAGGGTATTTCAAGTCAATAATGAAAAACTAATGTTGGACAGAGGAAGTACTTTGATGGTATTAAAAGGTGAACGCTAAGTACTAGTAAATAGTTTCCTTTATTGGGGGTACAAATGTTATTTTCCCTTTAAAATATTAAGTATTTACTCTTTTCGTTTAAAAAAGAATGACCTACTTTTTTTTTTGGTCTCTTTAAATAAAAATGTCCCTTTTTTTGGCAATTCTTTAAATTTAACTTTTCACGCGACATGTTGAAGACCACAAGATCAAAGGAAGTTTTGATGCATTTGACATAACTTAATTTAAAAGTTTTCTTTATTTTTTTAAACAAATTATTATTTTTAAACGGAAGGAGTATTATTCTTTAACCCTTTTAATTATTATCAGTCACACCATAATGCATGTCACTTTTTCAGTAAGTAGGTTATTTTCACGTGATTAGCTAGCTGTTCCAAA